TCCCCTGCTGTTCATTCATCATTTTTCACAATCTGAGTGGATATGATTGTCACTTATTCATAAAGGAATTGTATAAGAACAAAGATAAAATGGATGTCATCTCACAAACTAAAGAGAAATATATATCTTTCACAAAACATCTCTTTACACACTCCTATACGGATAAAGATGGTAGGTTGAAGAAGAGTTATTTGAAGATAAGATTCATTGATAGTTTCAGCATGTCCAGATCTTTAGAGAATTTAGGTGCAAATTTAATATCTGATCAGTGTATTGATATGCGCAAACACTTCCCACAAATTGAAAAATTCAATTCGATGAGGAAGAACGGTGTATTTCCCTATAGCTTTGTTGATGACTTCGACAAACTGAATCATCCAAGACTTCCAACTAAAAATCAATTTTATGACAAACTCATTCGAGTTGTTCGAGTACCAGAATTTGGGTGAATACTCTGATTTATATTTAAAATCCGATGTGCTACTTATGTGACATTTTTGAAAACTAGAAATATATCTGTTGATAAATATAAACTGGATCCGGCACAATACTTCACCTCACCTGGATTATCTTAGGATTCCATGTTGAAATATGCGAATATTGAATTGGAATTACTAACTGACATTGATATGGTTCACTTTTTCCAAAAAGGTATACGTGGTGGAATTAGTCAATGTAGTGAGAGGAAACATAAAGCAAACAATAAATTTTTACCAAATTTTAATCCAAAATAACCATCGTCATTCTTTTCATACTTGGATGCAACAAATCTATATGGTCACAGCATGTCACAACCATTACCAACAGGTAAATTTTCATGGTTAACACCTCATGAAATTCTCAATCTTGATATAATGAATGTGGATGCTGATAGTCCTTATGGATACGTACTGGAAGTGGATATTCATTATCCTCAAGAACTTCATGATAAACATTCTGATTTTCCATTCTTAGTCGAACGTTTGATACCTCCATGTGCAAAATCTAAAGTCCCCAAATTAATTCCGAATTTGAATGATGAAAGAAAATATATTGTTCACTATAGAAACTTACAGCAAGCTGTCAATCATGGTTGAAGAATGATCAGTATGGAAAGTATTGTTCTGTGGGTATTGTGTCCAAAACAATTGATAAATTTGATTGAAAAAGAAATTGGGGGGGGGGTTGCATTGTTCGGGGCCCACCAGGTATTGGGTTTAAATTCACATCACATGGTCAATATGATATGCAAAGGAAAATATTGAAAAATACAGGAGAACCAAAGGAAAATAGTGATGGTGTAACTGTATCATATCTTGAAGAAAAAATCAAAGAAACTAAGGAACTCATTCTTCTGGCTCTCCAAGCTGCAATAAAATCTACAATAGGTAATGTAGGACGTGAAGCTCGTCAATCATTTGATGATAAGATAGCTGAAGCGAGAATGACATCGACTCGCAAATACAACAATCTAAAAAGTGATGTTGAAATAAAAATATCCGACGCTACTACTGCAATGACACAAAAATATAAGGCATTGGAAAAAAGGGTTGCTACGTTGGAGAAGAAACATCCTGAGCGGTGGTCAAAGGACAGACCATTATTGTGGTATCCAGGTATAGATATCGATCCAGGTGTTAAAAATTTAATATATCATTGTATTGTGTGACAATAAATAGAATGCTATGTATTATGTGAAATAAACTGATACATACTATACATATCGAATTAACACAGAGAGAGATTGTATCGAGTGTGTATGATATACAGATCAAAAATGAAACAATTAGTGGACACAATACTCCAAAAAAGGGGGGCAAACCGCGGACACGTGTTTCTGGCTATTGGCCTCATCAGCGCGGTGTAGCCAAGTGTAAAGATGGGCAACACTTTTTTGCCGAAAGCAGGAAACAACACATACGCACGGATTATTTCATTTTTGCCCACCCAATAAAATACACAATTAGATGCAGAGAAAGAATGAATAAGAGGTGAAAGAGGGATAGTAGGTTGGACTAGTTAGAGAGTGAGAGGGTGGGGGCTGGCTGGAGTATTTAAAACAGGCCTCCGTTCAGAATATCTTCAGTTTGACTTTCAGCTGCTAGCCGACCAGTTCCATCGCCCGTTCTCAGACCAGTGTCGATTTAGTATTTTTTGTACATTACAATTTGCAAAACAACCACCACTAGGTAATTTAACAATATCAAATTCATGATTTTGTCTAATTGTATGTTTTCTACATGTTTCAGATATGGATTTCTCTAATTTCGAGATGAACGCTGTCATCGACAGCATCATGCCGGATCCTGTGGAGGGTGTCATGACTGCCGAGGGTGACCTTCCAGATCTAACCTTCGAGTATGTGATGAGTATCCTAAGAGAGGAGGTATGCCGAGAGTGCTCTCCCAGATTCGGAGCGAAGGAAATCCAACCACAAGCACAAAACCGGAGAAGGTAGTGGCCACAACCCAGGAGGTGGAGGCAAGGGTGCCATCCCAGGAGGTGGTGATGACTAAGGCGAAGGTGCAGAAACGCGCAGGTGGAGTTGAGGAAAGTGCTTCCAAACCAAAAAAGAAGGAAATTATTTTGGAGAATATCGACAGTGAGGATGAGTTCTTCGAAAAACCCTTGTCGAGCAAGCGGCAGTCTGTTAAACGAGCGCGAAAAGCTAAGGTTGGTGTCATTGTGAAGTATCGCAAGGTTTGCGATGAAACCATCCAAAGAGCTGGAAAATGGCCTGTTAGCAAAAGACCACCCTCCGACATACCGACTCCACCTGCTGCAGCCTCCAGTGTCATAGCGGCTGGACCACCACTTCCTGCAGCAGCCGCTACTGTACAGAATGCTCCCACCGTCGCACTCATCGAAGGGGTTGACTCTTCAGAAGAGGAGGACGTTCGATTTGAGCACATGTCCATATTTCTCAAGAGGAAGTACGATGCTGCGAAACTTGCCTGCCAGCAGAGTGAGACTGCTAAGGCGGAAAATCAGCTTCGCCAAGAAGAGATTTGGCCAGGCAACGAGCTGACATTGCTATGCAAGATGCAGAATTTGCCCGGAAATCTCAACTTTTTGCTGAGAGTCAGCGGTTAGAAGCCGAGCGATATAATGGGAGGTATGCTCGATTCAAACGTATGAAGGGGAGAATGTCCAAGTTACTTCTTTCCTTCGGCAACCTCTTCGATGAGTTGAAGTAGATTAGGTTAATTTTTTTTTGTTTCAATGGTTTTAGGTTAATTTGTATATATTGCTATAATAAATAATTGAAAAAAAAAAACAAAAATGAAATGAAAAAAAAGAGTGTACATTCAATCGGTTTGGTACACATTGGACAATGCGATGGTTGGGGCATTGTTCTTCATTTCATTTTATTATTATTATGTTGAGAATTATTTTTTGATTTCAATTCCAAGCTCTTCTAGACAAATCTCTCGCAACAATATGTATATTCTCTCGTCTCATATAAATAAGCTCTTGACCAGACATATCGTTCAAGGTCACCCACCACTTGTAATTAATGACGTCATAGTGGTGGGGGGAGACTTAGAACCGGCTGAAAACACATACTAACGGATTTAGTTCAACATCGGATCGATACTGGTGATACCAAGCCCATACCCAACCACTGAGACAACTTCCCTTCGCAAAGTAAGACGAAGCTGCATCCAGTGTTAAGGACATGTTGGAGAAAGGAGTAATCGAGTCATCAAACAGCCGCTGGTCGTCACCTGTTGTGTTGGTGACTAAGAAAGATGGATCGACGAGATTTTGCGTAGACTACAGGAGACTTGATGATTTCAGCGGAAAGAACAGTAACCTTCTCCTTAGAATAGATGACACCCTGAACATCTTGGCTGAATGCAGATGGTTCTCAACACTGAAGAGGCATTTGACCAGCGCACCTATCTTGGCATACCCAAAGGAGGAGGGCTTGTTTATACTTGACACGGATGCATCCCAACGTGGAATAGGAGCAGGACTCACTCAGGTACAAGAAGAAAGGGAAGTTGTCATTAGCTATTCTACTTAGTCATTGGGAGCATTAGAAAGAAACTACTGCGTCACGAGAAAAGAGCTTCTCGCAGTTGTCAAAGGGGTGAATTACTGCCATTCCTTTTTATATGGCCGAAAATTCTTGATCAGGTCAGACTACTCAGCACTTTGGTGGCTCTTAAACTTCAAAATCCCAGAAGGACGAACAGCCAGGTGGATCAAAAAAGTTGCAAACTTATGGTTTTGAAATTCAACATCGGAAAGGAAGAAGTCACATAAATGCAGACAGCCATCCCGATGCCAATTTTGTCAACACACAGAGGATAAGGATACCCAGTTACGAGAAGAAAAACTTTTCACCGGGCTTGACAAGGTAGCGGGCAGAGATTCCTTTATGGATAGCTCTGATAGGGAGATACGCTCCCCTACCTCCCGCCGGTTCGAGTTTTCTATGACCTAGAGGGTAACAACCTGTTAAGTGTCCCTTGTCCAGGGATACGGACAGAATATTTGAGGTACCACCTGACCATGGTATGGTACGGTCGTTAACAGTCTCCTTGGAGACTTCCTTCATGACGAGGCAAGATGTCATCGTAACGCAGAAGGAGGATCCGGTCTTGAAAACTGTACGAGAACGGATTGATAAAATAGTGAGGCCGGAAAGGCAAGCGATTTCCAAGGACGACCAGCAGGAAAAGGGTTACTGGCTTCAATGGGAATGTGCATTCGAAATGACCAGCATCTCGAAAATGGGGAAGCCCGGATGGAAGAACCCACAAATTCCAGATGATCTTTCCAAAGACGTGTATCCCGAATATACTCGAACAGCTCCACGATGGTAACACTGGAGGGCATTTTGGAGTGAATAGAGTAATAGAGTACGCGAGAGGTACTATTGGGTCAATTGCCGTCAAGACGTGAAAGAGTAGTGTAAGCGCTGTGCAGGGGCAATTAGTGTTTTTTGCTTTTTCGTCATAGACACATATATGCAACCACTAATGACAAAAAATTAATATAAAATGGGTTTTGTTTAATTATTTTTCAAATCATTAATTTGCAGTTTTAGGTCGAACCTAACCACACTTATGTGTGCCATGGCGTTTTCACTAAGATTACACAGTTTATCAAGGAACTTATTTTCAAATTTCAAACAGTCTGGTCGAGTGAGTGAGCAGTGAGGTTATATATTACAAATTTAATATATTTCATCTTTCAGAAACATTCCCATGTCCGTATAGTAGAGGTGGGCCCTAGAGACGGTTTACAAAACGAATCTGTTCACGTGCCAACTGACATAAAAATTCAGTTCATAAATAAGCTTACTGAAACAGGACTAAAAACCATTGAAGTTACCAGGTTCAAATTTTCCAGTGAGGATTATCATAGTTCAAACTGATTATCTGGGTTTTTTTCCAGTTTTGTAAGTCCGAAATGGGTGCCTCAAATGGGGGACAATGCAGAGGTCTACACAAAAATTACAAAAAAAGAAGGCATATCTCACACAGTTTTAGTGCCTAACATTAAAGGGATGAAATCTGCAGTGAGTAATTCAGTAAACCAATTTTGTTTTGACCTTGTCTGGATTAATTTTCAGTTGAAAGCTGGAGTCAAAGAAATAGCTGTGTTTGCATCAGCTTCCGAGGGATTTTCAAGAAAAAATACAAACTGCTCAACCCAAGAAGCTTTGAACAGAATAAGAGATGTTATTGAAATGGCAAAGTCTGCTGATATCAAAGTTCGAGGTTATGTATCGTGTGTAGTAGGGTGCCCCTATGATGGAGATGTTCATCCATCATTAGTTACTAAAGTTGCAGAAGCGCTCCTCTCTTATGGTTGCTATGAGATATCCCTTGGAGACACAATAGGTGTGGGTACAAAGACAACTGTTGAAAAGATGTTAAAGGACGTACTGAAGATAACCAGTCCTGATAAGTTAGCTCTTCACTGCCATGACACCTACGGTCAAGCTCTAGTTAATATCTGCAGTGCTCTTGAACTTGGAATCAGAGTTGTAGACTCCGCAGTATCTGGTTTAGGTGGCTGCCCTTATGCTAAAGGAGCCACTGGTAATGTCGCTACAGAAGATCTTTTGTATATGTTGCATGGGATGGGTATGGAAACAGGAGTGGATCTGAAAAAGGTTATCAGTGTTGGAAGGTTTATCAGTGATTTCATTAAAAAAGATTCAGGATCGAAAGTAAATAATGCCCTGTATTCTAAATATTTCTATGAAGTCAATACTCAAATCTGATCAATCTGCTTGGATAATAGTTTTGAGTAGACACTGTATTGTGAAAAATAACTTGTCAGGTACAATTTTTTGAAGACAATATTTTTTATGACTGAATAATAGTTTTACATTTCTTCAATCCAATCAATTATTCCTTCATATCTAAGGATTATCTTTAATTTTGTCATTTTCAGTACATTTTTTAAAACAATATTTATCTCTTCTTTTGAGTTATATATTTCAAATCTGTTTCTCACAACTCAATAAATATCTAAACATAAATACTGGAGAATACACAAAGACACGAGGAGAGACTATATAAGGGAGTTCTTCTAGGAGCATATCTTGCCAGATTCCTGGATGAATTGAAATTAAGACACCTCCAAAATGGTGTCAAGTGAGATTGGCTGGTTGCAATGAAAGTGGTAGTTTTGTAAAAAAGTAAATGGTCCGTAAACTCATTTCATCCAAAAAAGTTTCTAGAACCAGATGGTATTTATTCAGTACTACTGGACCTCCTACTTTGAAAACTGTTTCATATGAATACTCAGAAATTTGGTTCCTTGATATATACTTGAAATATAGAGAGTGATTAATGCCACCAGATCAGGTATGTTAATCAAAATGGCTTTGTGCCATCTCACGGAAAAAGTTGAATACACTTACAAGAACAAGAAAACTGTTTCAGCTGCTTTTTTTGATATATTCAAGCCCTATACAAAAATAGGTTGCGGGAATGGATCTTTTAGACACCAAGGGTAAGAAAGATCAACCTCACAAGTTACAGATAGAAAGACTGTATATATTCAGATGAATATTTGTACACACAACCACTATTGTGGAAACGGTAGTGACACAAGCAACAACAGAGTCTTATTGTCAGTGTTATGGAATACCCGAATAAAATCAGCCTGTATAGTGAAGGTCTTAGATGCAGGTAACACAACATTGATAGCTTATCATATTTAATGTGAATGTGATACCCTGGTTCCAGGAGGTAATCAATTTATGGGTAACACGAATTATGTCCAAAAGAATATGACACCTAACAAAGTACAAACTAGTATAGAAAAAAATATTGTTGGAATGGGTGTCATGATAAATATGGAGGGAAAAAACAATCAAGTAGTATGAAAAGAAAGCGTTGAAATTCTACAACACTCTTTTTTGAGAATTCTGATTTGAAGAGAAGCTGAAAGACTTGTTATATTAATTATTTATTTTTCAAGTACATGAGGCTTCAGTATTTTCCAGAGATTTTAAAGAAATGGGTAAATCAGACAGATCTTAAGTAGCAAAAAACATAGATTTTCCAACCAGAAAAAAACATGTTTCGTTGAACTACATTTCCGTCAATATATAGGTAAACACTTCAAATTAATGACGAAAAACTAAATATCAGACAAACAATGTATAGGGAACTGTCTTGATTATCTAGATACATTTATTTCAGATATTATATGAGACAAATATCTTCTCATATCCCCACACGTGAACAAAACTTTGATAAAAGAATGGCACTCCTTAATGAATGAATTCTTAAGGGGTTTATAATATGTTTCCCTTTTTGTATTCTTTATTCTGCATGCATGCATGGAGATGGAGGAAAGCAAAACTGGTTGTCTATCAAAAATAAATACTTTTTTTAAAATTAGAAAAGTCATTTTCAACAAAACAACTCTTTTAATAATCATGACTCTCCAATAGACTTTTTAGATGAGATTATAAAGGTTTACACGAATGCACCAAGTTTAATAGGTTTATATCGACTTGAGTGTATATTGATAGGATTATTTTCTTCAGACTGAAAAAATTGAAGGCTAGGGGCCACAAAAACATAGTTTTTACAGCAATAAAATGCTTCTTCCCAACAGAAATAAAACGATAAACTTGACAGCGATAAAACTGCCTGCCATGAAATCATCATCTAGGAGTAATAATTGTTTTAATCATATTTGACAGCCCAAATGAATATGTAAATAAAATAAAACTTACCAATACAATGAACATATACAAGAGACAAAATGAAAAATGAATGACCTTCACTGATTCACATAACCTCACGAAAATAAGACAACAATCCTTCAATTCAAACTCCACCTTGAATAGCAACATTTTATATATAAATAAATAACAAGATCGTAATGAAAACTTATTCGTATATTGAGGCATTTTTAATTCGATTGCAGACGTTATTCTGAATTTCAATGAAATTGAAAAGAATATGACTTGTATTGGTGACGCCTCCAGCTTCGTTAGGTAGGTCGGTTACTGTTGATAAATACAACTTCAGTCATTTACGTACTCTATTTATATATTCGAACATTATACTTTTAAACAAATGTTGTTACTGGAATTACTTGTTATTCAGGTAATAACATTTATTTTATTTGAAAATTGATTATTTTCTTATATTGATATATTCAGCTGAATATTTCAGGAAATGATCTTTACTAATACCACTCGACTTGAAAATTTCCTCAGATGAATGTAAATTTATTCAATCTCAAACATTGTTATTTTTGAGCAATACCAATCGAGTAAACAGCATGATAAAACCACGAGTCCCTAGGACGAGTGCATTTAACCGCTGTAAAACTGTCTAAAAGCTTCCTGACATTGAACTTTTTTTGTTTTAACCAATGAAGAATATTGTGTAATTGCTTTGATAAGTACTATGGAGAACATAATTCAGAGGGGTAATTTGAGGAAATCGGTATATATGGGGTGTTTGGATATTTGAGTAGGTTGAAATTGGATTTTTCTGGATTTTTGGTA